CAATTTCACACAGAAAAAAAAATGAAATTATATAAAATAGAAAACGAGAAAAAAGGAAAGAAAGCAAGAGAGAGAAAAATGGAAAATTAAACAAAGTTTCTTGAGGAACATGCCCCTAGAAACCCAAATTCCAACCTTTCCCCATACTGTTAAATTTTCATTCTGTTGTGCTTTGTTTTTAAGGATAAAAAAATTTCTCTTACCATTAAGTACGGTGGACATGACTGATGATGTTGTGACAGGGGTACTTGTATTCTCCACATAAGCACTTGATGAATTGGTTGTAACGTGAGTTGATGAGTTTGAAGCAAGTGCATGTTGCATACAACACATCAAAAGCAATACAAACTTTAGGCGGTGAGGGAAAGTCATCTGTCAAAGCGAAAGCAAATGGTATTGCAATTAACTCATGATAAAAAATACACAGAGAGAAATTCAATATGGCAAACAAGAGGCGAATGTTTTCGAGTAGATGTAAATAAGGTGTTGTAAGTTATGTCTCTGGATTTATCCTCTCTTTTACATGAACACCTTAGTTTGACTGATGCCCGACAACGTTTCATTTTGCTGGCTTCAGAATACCTCTTTGGTGTAATTTTAATTACATGGGAAGGGAAGCAGTAAATTGATTCCCGCGTGGCGGTATCTGTCCACCGCCTCGAGCTACATACGCAGCGACTCGGTCTTCTGTTTATGAGAAAGAGCAGTACTATTATTACCCGATTGCCCTCATCAGTCACTATTAAAATAGAGTTCAAAAGCGAACGTCTTTATTGAAAATGAGCTCTGTAAGAGGCTGACGGGCTCTTAATATCAGTTTTGCTGTAATTACTTGACAGAGATTGGCAGATTTCAATAGTAAAGCATTTTCCTAGATCTTCGCGTTCACCGAAAAGAGGCGTTTGACAGTTTCACCGGCAGAGAGTTTCCAAAGCGAGGAAGTCTACACTCAACAAATTTAACAAGTTTCTTCCCAAGATGTGATGTTAGTGCCTCGGGATTAGCTATTTTTGGAAAAGGAAAGTATTCAGGGCACATGCAGATACAAGTTTAAACAGTGAGAAATAAAAAAATTAGAGTCCAGAATTCAGCCATCTGAGCCGGGCTTATGGAATTATCTCGTTTTGCAATTGCAAAGTTTGTTAGACTGAATGAAACAGATACAGAGAATTTAGAAAGAAATCGAGGAAACCTTTAGTAACGCGCGTAGTTTACACTTCGCAGCGCAAAGAATGATTGGTTTCTAAATCGGCTACCGGAGACATATTTCTCACTGGTCGCTAGAAGACAGCTGTAAAGATTTCGAAAATAACAGCGATGATACTTACTAAAACGTGTACCACAGAACTGTAAAAAATAAAAATAAATGCAGCATAGATAACGGAAAGATGGCAGAGCAACAAATACACTCTCATCCTGCGGTATTTACAAGACTACAGAGTTAAAGCTGTCACTACAGCGACCTGTGTTTTTGCGGATAAAACTTTGCCGGAAAAACGTAGCTTATTGTTACTACAGCGACCTGTGGAAAAACGTAACTTATTTCCCTGTAAGATTTTCGCCAATGGCTCGATGCGTTAACCGTGTCTGACTAGTTAATCTATCTGTTGAATCGTAACAAATTATAGCATGATTTAGAATGGATCTTGATATCTGGTCTGCAACTGATATCAGCATTCGGGGATGAAAATAGGCTTAGATAAACCTAAAATCAGTGATTATTTCTATCAAATTTGTTCCAAAGGAAATTATGTGAGTTGATTAGCCTCACAGATGTTTAACTTAAAGTGTTTACTTTTGTTAAGACTGTAGGATTCAAGATTGGAAAGTTCCTCGTTTTAGTGCGAGAAAATGTGCATCGAATAGGTGTTAAAAATTACTAAGCCGCAAAATGAAATAAAGAGGACTGGTTAGTCGTTG